TCGAGGTGTTCAGCTTAGCCACTGCCTTTAATTGATGTTGCCATTGTAATACATAAAAGAAGCTCTGTTCTTAAAAATGTTGCTAGAATCTATTGGACAAGTGTTTGCAACTCTGTTTCTGTCTAATGATGACGTATCAGTCATTTTCTTCATTTTCATCTTTTTCAGCTACGAGAAGGAGTTACGCAATGCTCAAAAGCTTGGCATAGAGAAAGCTAGAATTCTTGCTATGTGTGCCGCATTACCCCTTTCTCTACTGTTCTTTGCAACAGCCGTTTGTTTCTGGTCTTGAAGTCAATCTTTCAGTCAGGAAATTACACAGGCAATCTTAAGGTATGGAACAAAATTGGTGCTTGAGGGGACTATGACTCCGGGATCGATTTTTGGTGTTTTCTGGGCAGTGCAAGTCGGCACGCGAAGATTGGGAGAAAGCAACTCTCAAATGGGAGCAATAATTCGTGCAAAGCTAGCTCTTGCTGATATTTTTGCAATTATTGACAGGGTGTGCTAAGCAAACTACATTGTCTTTGAAAAACGATTTAGCTTTAGGCTCCAAAAATTGAATGTACACAAGCGGATGGGTTGACACCTCACAAGGTTGATGGACACATTGCTTTCAAAAACGTATATTTCTCTTATCCCACAAGACCATCGGTGCAAGTGCTAAGAAATGTGAGCTTCGAAGTGAGTCGTATGAAACCCCTTTCTGTCAAGTTTGAACAAACTCGATTGAGGTGAAAAGGGGAGAAAAAATTGCTTTGGTGGGACACTCCGGATGCGGTAAGACAACATTGATTTCGTTACTACTGCGTTACTATGAACAAAATGGTGGACAGGTGATTCGAAGAAGAGTTTGTATCCTTCAAAATATGGACTAAATAGCATGTTCTGCAGGTATACCTTGACAATATTCCACTTCGAGACTACAATACTAGATGGTTGAGAAACATTGTCGGTGTTGTACAGCAAGAACCTGTCATATTTGCGGCTACTGTTGCTGACAATATTCGGTACTAGTAACATTCAAATTTTCATTGAACCAACAGCACCTTCTAGAATGGGAGACAACTCGCTGACATACAAGGATATAGAAGAAGCGTGCGAATTGGCCAATGCTCTCAGTTTTATCAAGAAGCTCAGCCAAGTAAGTCTAGGTATAAAACGCCTAAGGGGTTGAACAAGTTGAATTGCTTCGATAAGATTGAAAAGCTGGTTCAAAATGGTGACTTCTAGCACACTGATTCATCCTACCATTCCTGCATAGTTAACAAAACAACTGACTTAGCCCTCAGTCAGTGTTTATTTATTTATAAGCAGAAAATAAATTACCCTAATTTCAAG